CTTTTGAAGAATTAGAAGTCAACTGTTGTGACACACTAGTTGGCCTTCCACGTGATTTTCAGATACGCTTTTAGATGACAAAAGAACGACCGCAACTGGCACCTTCCTGACGACTGTTATCCTTCCTTCAGCGGATCCTGGAAGCGCTGCAAGGGAGGCACCGCGTCCTCTTCCCCCCCGAAATGCAATTTGCAAGTCAATCAAGTATCGCTTCCAGACATGTATTAGACACACAAGACTTTATTTTTTTTTTTTTCCACAGAGGTTCATTACAACAGATTCTTCTCTACTTCCATTTTTCTTGGTGTTTTTACTTCTGGCAAATACCAGTCTTCAACCCCCTGGGGCACTTTTGATGAAGACCCTGACCCAAGGCGTGCTGAGGTCTGCCTGCTGCTCCCCGGGGGGCTTCCCACGCACCCAGCAACTCCCTTGCTTCTGTCTCACTGCCTGGAGAACATGCTCTTTAATCTGTGGTTTGTTTACTCACCAAAAAAAAAAAAAGAAAAAGGAGAAGTTCAATCGTATTTTGGCCCTTTATTAAATCTGTTTCGCTACAGCAGCTCAGTTTAGTCTTTCTTATTTGCAAGATGTTTTTTGGGTTGAGGAGCAAGTTACTAATTTCACCCTCACGCATTAAAGCAAACCTGTGCTTGCAACATTCTTCAGTGAAGTTATTTTCTCTCATCAGTGTCTATAAGCACCACGTGGCAAGACCCCTTCCACAGTTTCCCGCTCAAGTATTGACAAATACCCCAGGGTGCTGGCAATCCTGTTCTCGTTTCCCTGGGACCTAGTGTTCTTTCTTCTAAATGTGAAACCTGCGACACATCAATTTTGCAGGCTATTGTCATCTTGGAAACTGAAAAAAGTATTGGCTTCTAAACATTTTGTACCCAGCAATATTATAAATTACGCTCGAAACCTCAACAGCAGCAACACAAGCAGCATGTGTCCTTATTTGCCTTCCACTCTCCTTTTGTTCCTCGACAGCGCTTGGTTTTTTGCTCTTTGGCTCAGCTGCTGCTCCTGACTCCGGCACCAGAACAAGACGACCATTTTCCTCTGGTGCATTTGGAAGAGATGCTTTGCCCATCTTCAGGCTGTGCAAGTGTGAAACCAGATGGCAGCAGCCAGATGTACACACGGACAGCATTTCTATCAGTGCTCACTCTGGAAAGACCTGGGTGAAAAAGGAGATCTGTACTATCTGTACTTCCTTTTTATTTTAATTAAAAAGGAAGAAACAAATAAAAAATATTCTGCCTCTCCAGCTTTATTATAAGAACTGCACCCAAGTTTTTGCAGGTGATAGAGGCCTGTAAGAGACTTCGTGCTATTAAAGGTGCCCTTCTTCACCAAAACCTTCCAAAGGATTTGGCTGGGTCACGGCCAATAACCAATTTAGAGAATTAATTTTCACCCATTTATCGCACGCCTGGCTCTTGAAAGGATCCTTTATCCTTTTCATGCTGTTATATACTGGAACGGTCTCTGGCTTGGTCCACCCAAATGAGCGTGCTTCAGGAACTGGCATGGGCTGGGGATCATCCTGGCTACCCTCTTTTACAGGGTGAGACTGAAACAGCCTGGACACGGTCTGTGCTCTCTCTGCTGGCAGGCACAAGTCTCGGCTACACAAGCAGCCTCCCTGCCTGTCCCTTCTTTGTGCCCTACTAAAGCAAAGCCGAATTGTAGTGAGAGGGACTCGCATGACTTACGCCCAACCTCTCTCTTCCCCAGGGTCAGGGCAGAAGGTTGAAAAGTTTGGGATATGGATGTCACGTTAAGCAAGGCAGCTAAGTTGCCTCGCAAGAGAGGAAGCAAAAAGAGACACCCATGGAGTCTGTTTAACTAAAAGAGCTATCAACATAACATACATTTCCATAAACATCTTGGTTTTGGTTGCCACATCAGAAAAAAGCAGGCATTGCTCTGCGTTCTTTGAAGCAGCAAAATAGAGGGAAAAATTATCATCATCACAACAGAAAAACAATCCCGCAACCACCTCCCCACACAATACCAACAATAATGACATTTATATATTCCACCAATTACCATTTCCAACTCTGCTGCAGCTGTAGCTCTCAAGGACAGGACAGGCGCACGCTTCGATGCATAATGCATGTACCTAGCAGCGAGCGCGGGAGCGATCTGACGCTGCCGGAGCTTTAACTCAGGGTGGCTTTAGCTCTGAATAAATTTTAATTAGACAAACACCTTTTTCCTGGCACTTAGGGGACTGCTTGTGTCATCTCCTGATTAATCCTTCAAAACCTGAACCATTTTAATCAATTCCCACTCCTTGCCGTCACTGACGCTGTATACACGGTGTGCTAGGGAGCTACAGAGCGCCAAATGCCTTTCTTTTGTATCAGTGCCTGGGAAATACAATGATTTTCTGCAAGTCTTTTCACACCTGGTAGGAAAAATGTCACTGTTACAGAAAGCTGTTTCTCTAAAAATTTAATTAGAAATTACATATGGCCTGAATTTGAAGGGGAGCGGGGGGGCGTTGGTGGATTATTGTTGACAATCGCATCTTAATTTTCTACTTAAATGAGCTCGTTATGTCTAAGAATGTGCACTGGAGGGTCCGGATAAACCATTTTTAGATTATGAGCAGTCTTCAGTTTCTTCATTTGGACTCCATTGAGCTTTATACGTCACACGGTTAGTCAGTTATTTAACAAGGTATTTTCCTGCCCTCTGCCTGGATTACTGAAATACTTCAAGTAAGAGAACAACCACAAACAAGTTAACAATACTTCATCTCTACTACGATTTTTCAGGCAGATGTTTACATTAAAATGTCACATCACATCTTAAGGATTTTTTTTAAATTTTCATCAATATCTAATATTGTTTGGTAACTCAAACACCAGAATTATATCAACCTGCTAAAATCACAGTTCTTCCATTCACAATGAACAACAAGTTCTCTAAACCAGTTCAGAAAAATGCAAACTCAACAATTTGTGACAACTCTGTGTAATGACAGCAGAGTTTGCTTCGGGACATGCTTTAGTGGTGGGATGGCAGTGTTAGGTTAACGGCTGGACTTGATGATCTTAAAGGTCTTTTCCAACCTAAACGATTCTATGATTCTATGAAAGATCTGAAAGCATCCTCAAAACCAATTCTGATGAAAACCTAAAAATGGGAAAGTAACTTGTTGGAAATGCCATCACTGTTTTTTCAAGGAATTCACCACTAACGTGTCCCTAGGCTGGCAGAAAGAATAAGCTGCTGAAAAAACATAACTTGTGGCCGTGATTTCAGCAGGTAGAAATCCATTGCTCTGTTTTGCATGTGACATATGGAATTGGACAAATAGAAAAGCCTAGCGTTGCCATCTCTCTCTCCTTCTGTCCCTCTCTTCCTATGGAGACAAGCGAGACGAGTGGCTCTGAGCAGGTGCCTGATGCTCACATAGCTAAGCCAAGGTGGCTCAACAAAGGAGGCACATCTAAAATTAGGGCATCCACCAAGAATGCCCCCCTCTCCTATGTGTAAATTGAGGTTTCATTAAAAAAAAAACAGGGGGGGGGGGATTCTAAACAAGATATAGATGCTGACAGAGATACTGGATACCTATTGTCATAGCTCCCACAAGTATAATAGCATTAAACAAGGCAGCAGAACCTCCCGTGCAGTTTCTGGATGATATTTGGGTAAAGCCTTATGAAGTACATACTGCAGCGATCCAAAATACACACTGCGATAGAATGAGTACATGCCTATAATGCAAAGACTACACTGTACATTTTCATATTTCCATATTTTACAGTCTTGCATCACCTTGGGTGGTTTTTTTCCCTTGGCATTTTTTGGTTATTTAAAAAAAACCCAAAAAACTCCCACCCATATGTTCTCTATCATTATTTGGTTGTATGACAAGGACAAGTATTTGCAGTATTTACCTTCTCTGGTTTACTTGCTCCTTCTGTCGCTTCTTCTTCTTCTACTTCTTTTTCTTGCACATTCTCATTTTCATCAAGAAGTTTCATGGGTACCGGAGGGGGAGGCTCATCCTCTACATCTGGTGTGTTGTCAAGAGGGCTTTCTGAATTAGCACTTTGGCGACTTTTTTTATTTCGGTCAACAGATGCATATTCTGCTGATTCAATTCTGCACTCAGGAGTCTGATCCTGACCTTCAGAAACCACCAGCGAAGCCTTTGATTTGCTGTTACAGCTCCCTTCGAGGTTGGCTGCTGCTCCAATGTCTTTAATTTCCTTCACAGTTTCATACAAGCAGTCTTCAACTATGTTCTCCTGAGAGGAGCTGTCTTTCAAGACTTCGTAAGGCCCTTCCATTCCAAGACCTTGGTCATTTTCTGCATTTCTAGCAGAGATGATAGTTTCCATGGTATTGTTAGGGGGAATGCTGGGTAGTTCCCGGCTCTGGTGACATTTTATGGACTTTCCAAGACTGTCCTGTTGATCTAGCAGATCAGAGACAGATGTTTGTACTTCTTCATAAGGCTGGATACAGGCAGTTGTACTGTCCTCTGAGAGTACTAGGGAAAATTACAAAGAAGTATTTCAAACCATTGCATGACTAAGAAAGGTGAATGCGATTTGGTACCGTGTGTCACTTTGGTTTTGTCTCTCACTGAAAAGGCTAATGATGCTAATGGTTTAGTGGTGGGATGGCAGGGTTAGGTTAATGGTGGGACTTGATCTGAAAGGTCTTTTCCGACCTAAATGATTCTATGATTCTATAATGCCTGGAAATGTCTGGCGGTCATCATGCTTACCAAAAGGTTTCAGTTAACAGAGATTTCTGCGCTCTACCGTTAAAATACCTTTCTCACACCACCTTAAATTTGTGCACCCCCAAGTCACATTACAAAGCAACAGCATTCATAGCCAGAACAGGGGACGGGTGGGGAGGTGCAGGCGTGCACGGATGCTCAGCGGTACTCGGTTATGTTGAACGCCTCCAGGCGGCTCAGTAGTCTCAGGTGGGGAACGCTGGTGGGAAGCCTTGAACCAAGTGCCTTTCAAAAAAGCCTTGTTAGATTCCCCTCTTTCCATTTCCCTCTCCTTTGGAATCAAAAAGGAAAGCGCTCTTGCTTCCTCCCTACCCAGCCCTCACCTTGTTTAACACGCTGGCCCGATTCTCGCCTGAGCCACGGCTCGCTCAGCCCTGCCGCAGTCAGCCTCGCTGCTCGCTCCTCCAGCAGCTCCGCGCCGGGGGGCTCTGCCACGCTTCTCTTAGTCTCGCAGCACATAATGTAGGTTGACAACCTACTAATGAGCCAGCCATATGCACAAGACTAGACTTCGGAAAGTAGTGTTAGGCAGAACATGTTATTTCAAGTCCCAGAAGCGGGTTATATGTCACTGTCACTAGAAGGTAGTAGGGACTGAAATCTACGGGACTTCTCATCTTACAGTGCACATGCATGACATTTGCCTGCATTCAGGGGTGTATACATGGGCATATACAAGCATGCTTCAGGTAGTATACGGTGTGTAACTTTAGGTGACACCATTTCTTTGAAAAATCACTTCTGAATAGCTTTACTTTTCTTAGTGCAGTTCCTATGGCACTCTCTCAGCAAAATCAACCCATTCCTCCATTTCCTTCACAGCGTTCGACATGATAACATAAGGCGTTGCTGAAGCAATCGTTACCCTTGATTTGGTGGTTGTTGTGGATGTTGCTTTCTCTTGCGCTCGCGGCACGCAGACGCACGTGGTCAGCACCCGCAGGGAGCCGCACCCTGACAGCAAAACTCAGGATGGAGCTGGAGGTGTGAGATGGCAATTGCTGTCTGAATGGGAGATGGGAGGAGAAGAAAAGGAAAACATCCTTCTCCATTCACTTGCCTCCTGCATACGACTGGGGAGGAATAGGTGGAATAAGAGCAAGTGTCCTATTGCATGCTGACTAGGACTCAGGGTGTCCTAGTCACTACCCAGGCTGCCTGCAGGCTTCCCAAGGAACATCAGGAACCGGCCTGGAAAAGTTGGAACACATTTCCCCCTTTCCATGCTTGCTCTCAGGGCTGTCTGTGCTATGCAGAGCACCACGACAGGCTCCAGAGAGCACCCACCCCGTTCAGGTTCAGGCTGGGGGGTGATGATCAGAAGCAACGAGAGCTCACATTTCTGTGCTCCTGTGGTTATGGGTGGTGACACAGAAGGGGCTGGCATAGATAAGGGCTTGGCCTAGATAAACACAATGCTCGCAGGTTGGGTAAAGAAAAAAAAAAAACCCAACATTTGATGGTGTTGCTTCCATAGCCCCGCCCCTGCTCAAAAGGCTAGCAGAAACGGCAAAAGAAAGAACTATTAACGAAAAGAACGCATGAAGTATAAAAAGTATAAAAAGGAAATTAAAGCACATTGGTTCCTGTGACTCAGAAGGGTTGTTATGCAGAGTGTGAGCTGAGCGATACCAGACAGTCTGAAAACTGTTCTGCTGGTTGACAGCACGCCTTTGAGTAGCAGCCTTGCCAGCTGCATGTGCGGTGGTGACTCGCGGCAAAGAGAAACCCTTCCCTTCACAGGGCTTTGCGCATCGACTCCCTCGGTCAGCCACACACCTACACATGCCACAAGCCACGGATGGGAGCAGCCATTAGCTGCAAAAACAAAGTTCAGAAATTCCTCTGGATGCTTGTCTCCGAGGGGTACAGACCAGATAGCTTAGCCTCTGGCTGCACAGGGAGATGAGGAGGCAGGAGATGAGGAGCACAGCCCGTGGCGTCGGTGCCCAGTGTGGAGACAACAGTTGGCTCCCGGCAGCTCTGAGCTGAGACCAAGTTTATTTTTAGGTGCAGCTTAGTAAAATATTTTCCAGTGATACTTCACTGTGAATCATTTTCAGTGTTCAGCAAAGCAAACACTAAGGGAAAAAAAAGGAAGCTTATTTATGTTGCCCATTTTCCAAAATACAAAAATACAAGCAACAGCCTCGCACAAGCACGGGACTACGATGCAAAGCTGTAATCCATGGAGGAGGACCTGAAATACTTCCACAGCCTCCAGGATTGAAACTTTGAGGTACAACTGCATCTTCTGGTCACATCCCAACTCCATAGCTGGCTGAGATTAGGGAATGCTGCAGTCTTTGCCTGATGGCCTGGTCAATCTGCAGGTGTAGCTTGGTGGCCCAGAGGAGGACATTAGCACCTTCCCAGTGTTGGCTGGTGTGGAGGACTGGGAGCCTGGGTGCAGGGTTGTGCCAGAGCATGCCTGGCAGGGAAGTGGAGATGCAGCTAAAATGCCAGCATCTCCACGGGATGGGCTACTGACTTCCCAGCAAGGCAGCTGTGCTCACTGCATTTTTTAACTTGATCATAAGTTTTGTGTGAATTGTGTCCTGTGCGAAGAGGACTGACTGCCCTCCAGAGAGCTGCATGCCCGGCCACTGCCCTGGGGTACAGCAGCTGATCTGGTGTCAGACCTCCAGAGGTGAGCAGGGGAAACGCAGGCTATTCGGACAAACATGACTGTGTGCTTGGAAAGCTTATGGCTAGAAACCTAAAACTTGAGGGATCACCACTGGGCAGCTAAAATTGGGAGCTATGAGCGAGGGGATGGCACCGTTCCTTCATCCCACCCGCAGGGGCTGCGCTACTCACCCTCGCCGTTGCTGAGTGCCCCGTTCTGGTCGCTGCTCGGAGGGGGCTCTGTAGCCGAACTTGTGATCGAATGGCTGAACACCTCCTTATCGGAAGGCTGCAAGACAAATCAGTGAGATCTAATCACCGTTGGATCAGCATAAATGTCTGCATAAACAGGTATGTGACGAATTTTGTTTTGATCTTGGGAGCTCTGACTCACAGGCAGTATTGGCAGGAGAGCCAAACCATGCCGACTATACTCAAAGATTTAGGTGCCTGTGTTTATAGGTGATAAATAAATGCAAGTATGTCCAGAGTGATCTCCCTTCCAACCCTTATGGTTGTGCTGCAAACGGAGTGAAAGGAAGGCAGGAGACCTGGAGTACAACGGTGCTGGGAAAGTGCAGATTATCGGGGTCTACACAAGTTCTCTTCCTGCTCTGCAACTTTTAAAGTGTCCCTTGCTCAACCGTCTCCAAATTCCTGAGCTATTTTCCAATCTGCAGTATTTTGCAAGGAGCTTGGTACAAACCAACCACAAGACAGACACAAGCTGCCAGAAGTAAACACTTACCACATTCATCAGGTTTTCATGGTCTCCGTTCTGATGTTTGGCCTTCTTTTCCCTTAATGAAAAAGACGTATGAACTGTTACTACCGATTACGCTAATATACAAATGCCAGTCATTAATAAAGCTTACACACCTGCAGGGAACAGAACTGTGATTCATAATAATACTGAAAATAGAATAACTGAAAATTATTACAGGGACTGGTATGACCTTGGTGTGAGGTCACCATCGAGGCAGGGCGGTGATAAATCTGAAGAGGTGCAACAAACACACACGAACCTTCTCCTTGTTCAGCGTAAGGAGTCACTGATGATAATCAAAACATTATCATCCTCAATTTATCATATCTGAAATGCTCAAAGATACAGGAGGTACATGTTTTGGTGACAGACTACCTGGGGGGTTCCATAAACTGTGTCTGTGAAAGGTGTTTATCCTCTGAAGGGTTAGAAAAGGCCCACAAAATCCAGCCTCACTCAGGACGCTAGCTACAGTTAGTAAGAAGCAGGGGCAGTTCAAGAAGGCCAGCGCGTTTCACAGCAGCAGAGGCCTTCATTTTAAAACGAATCCTGCTTCGCTTCACAGGACTCAGTCGCTGCATCACATTTCCAGTTTGTACCAGTTTGGAAATACAGCTCTTATTCTGAAATACTGTAATAAACTATGAGCTTAAAATAATAATAGTCCTTCCCCTAGATGAAAAGGCAAGTAAAAAGCTGAGAAAATATCAACAATGTGAAATCTGTGCTGCTTCTGAAGTCTGCAATGCACCGTACTTCCCACACTCGCAACTCTTAAAATTCTACCAATTGGGAAATAAGAAAACAGAGCAAGTAAGGCTGCACCAATGCAGAACAGAATTAAAGTTTACAAATAATTAATTTCCTCTCTGGAAGTTTTTCTGACTCTGACATTTTAGAAAGAGCAGATTTTGTTCAGTTTTCCATGTCCTCAACCCCTTGTGAAGAGTAAGCTAGGAAGAAATTTTACATAATTGCATTTATGCATAAACAACCTGCCCTACTGAATGACCTGAAATAAAAGATACCGCGTCCAGACTACCAACAGAAGAATTTATTAAATGTAGCATCACTACATCATTTCTGTCAATGTATCTCTGTAACTGCAAAGACATACTGAGTGGTTTGACTCTGTTTTAAAAACGTCTTTTTAGATGAAGCATCTAGAGATGTTTCAAGGACTGGAGTGTTACAAGAGAAAACATGGTACCTAAATGCAATGTTTGTAGGCTTAAGGATTTTTAAAATAGGTTTTCTACTTTTAAATAAATAAAAAATACGTATTTCCACTATTTTTACACAGGTATCACAGGGAACTGTGATGAGTAGGAAGACACTGAAATGTCGCCTAGCAGCTTACAAAACATTTCTCCTCAATCCCATGAAATTACAAGTTCCAATTTATGCTTTTTAGGTTTTCATCCAACTTGTGGGGTCTGGTCTTGCCCACGACTGTTTTTTTGCAACGCCATCATTAGAGAAATCGTGCCAAAAACGAGGGCCTTCCACTGTAGGCACACCTTATGTATGCCCATATAGTGTGTTTTATGGCTGCACAGCTTCCTCAACGCTCCCAATGCTGAACGGCTGAAAGTACATGCTCCTACAGGCATAAGGGTCCAAAGCAAAGATTTTGTTGCTGTACTGAGTTAAGGATAGGGTTTTTTTTCTCCCCCCATACATCTGGCTGATTGAGCTATGCTGGCAAAACGCAGCGATACGGACCACGGCGGTCCCGCTTCTCCTCGTGAAGGGTCTCACCAGTCCGACCTGGTGGAAGGGCACCGAGGATGGAGCGAAGGCTGCCCAGCTCCCCTGTGCAATCTGCAGGGCTCAGCTTGCATGGCATGAAGGGGCCTTGAAACGTGAATAAACAAAGTCAGTAGAAATGCCTGCACTGGTGAAATCAAGCCCTCTTACGGAGAAGATAAGGATAAGGTATGACTAAAAGACATAAATTAGTATCACCATTTGATTCTTACTCATTTGGGCTTGAACGGCAGGATCAATTCCTAGTCTTCAGGAATGGCCAAGGCAAAGCTGAAGTACATAGAAATAGCTTTCCTTTCCCTTTTACCTATACTTTTTTGGTCCTGTTTGGCCCGCCTAATTTTCTCATGTTTAGGTTAGCAGAGTGATCTACTAACAGTGTCCACCTGCGCTCCAGGCTTCAGCTTAGGAGAAAGAACCAAGCAAACACAACGGTGTTTTCCCGTCACAGCAAAAGCAAAAAAAAATAAATTAGATTTTGGAATGAATAGAACTGTTCAAATTCAGGTTTGCTCTGAAAACAGATATTCTACTGTACTTTTTTTATTTCTGTACCTAAGTCCTCAGTATTTCTTGCTAACTAATTATTAGTGAAGCTATTTCAATCCCTGCACTATTTGACTCAAGAACCATTACTGCCTGCTAAGCTCCTGAGCCTCACCTGTTGCAGCTGGAGCAGAGGAAGATGAGGAAGGTGAGGAACAAGAGTGTTGTCATGGCCGCCAAACTTCCCCACAGGATGACGTGGACCTGCCCACCGCCTAAGAAACCACCCCCTGGCCCCATGGTACGAGCAGGAGCTGGCGTCACTCGGGGATGAAGAGGTTATTCCTTGGAGAAGGCTGGCATCTGTGCTGCGTGCACCTTCTATTTCTGCAGAAAGAAAAACACCATTAGAGGTCGATAGAAGTTTTGAAGATAATGAATCTGACAGCTACAAATCTGGCAGGAGAGATTTTCAAATCCAGATCTTCCACAAAACCAGTTTCAAGTACAAGCCGACCAGCCAAAGAGATTTTCAGCTACATTTCTGACGGTGACAGAGAACAAACCTTGTCAAATATTAACGCAAGCTGCTACCTATCTACAATCTCAACACGAATAAAAGGTGGTCCGGTATCTCCGTCCTTGTATCTTGAGGAAAAATCCACTTTGTGGGACAGAGTAGTCTATTTTGCAGAGGTATTTGTTAACTTCCTTGAAAAGTAAGCTTTCAAAACCCACCGCAGCTTCTGCAAAGTTAACAAGTCAAAAAGAGAGCTGCAGCGGGCGTTCACCTCCTTCCCTCTCAATGTCTCCTGCCTGCACGTGATTTGGTGCTTAAAGTACAGGGACAAATAAGCTAGGCAAGCCTTTGGGAGGAACACCTCACAAACCTTTCTGCAGCGGATTGGATCGAATCTTATTTCTGTGCGAAAGGCTTATTTTCTTAATAGTAGGACTGCAGAGTAATAATACTGCACTTCCTTTTTTTTTGCTTCTCCCCACCTGAATCTAAGAAAACAACTAATGAGAAAAGTAGACAGGGTGGGTTTTAAGAGCTGAATAAACACAACTTTTGCCATAGCACAGCAACCCCTAGAGGAACATCCCAGGTGAATGGTATTTATGGTATGTAAGTTTTGGTATACAATATATTCTAGAATTGTATATGTATTTTTAATGTAATACATTGTTGACACAGCAAAATTAAAAAGAAGTCTTTCATTCTGCACCGCTGAAGATAGCAATTTCTCTGCAATTTAGGAACAGGTTATGCAAAGTCTATTTACAGGCCCTCAGCCAGACTCCAAGATTGATAAACACTGAAATAGAATGCAATGGCTAAGAAATGAGCAGTTACCTTTTGGGAATGAAAAAGTAGCACAAACATAAAATTGAATAATGTCTAAAGCCACTAAGACTTACTTACTTTAATTTTATGCATATATTTCCATATATATCTATTTTATATATGAAATATGTATGTACATATATTTTTTTCTTTGCAGCAAAAGCATACTTTGTAACAGCAAATTCAGTTAGGTGCTAATATCATATCTGTGTCAAAAACCACCATGTCACCATTTTGATATTGAAATCGTACAAGAAAAAAGATTAATTTCCAGAAAAAGGCCATTCACATTAAAGGAAATCTGCTGAGCTGGCCGAAGAAACTTAACAACCAAGCTATGTGACTGGGTAGCTCTTACAAGTAACATTTCTGTTCCTACATAAAATGGGCTCATGGGTTTCTACCATGCAGGATCAGACTTCTGGACACCTTCCAAGAAGAACCAATTCTCACTAAATTATCCATGGTGGATAAAAGCTTTTTTCCCTTTTAGATATTAATGGCATTGCAATAACCTGAAATGGGAAGGAGCAAACAAAAGATGGAAAAAGTGGCTGACCTGGCAAAGACAAACTTCAGAGTGTAGTTAAATTTTCTAGTTGGACCAACTTATAAGAAAGCCAGATAATCTGTAAGCCCTCCAAACCCATAAATATGCAGGATGGGAGGAGTAGGTGTCGCACACCTTGCCAAAGCACAGATATATCTTTCTGGTAGCCTTGAGCACCGACACCAAAGAGGCACCGCTCACTGGGGACGACCAACGCTGAGCAATGAGTGTCTGTGGTTACCTTGGTAGAGCTTGAAAAATTACACCTTTAAAACCAATGGCAGACCACTCTAAAAATGGTGTATATTGCAGATGTGAATCTGATACAGCCCTGCCTCATCCCTATTTTAAAGCAAAACTCGTGTTACTTCTACACTGAGTCATAGTCACATCTCTGACTGCGAAATGGAGAGACCTTAAGAGAAGTGGAATCAGATTTAGTCAGGAGAAAACTTGGTGTAATGACTGCAAAGACCTCTCTGATTAGGTGCAAGGGCACCGTGAACTGGGACGGATTCCTGTGGAGGTGATGGACTGTCCTCCTTCAGAAAACGCTATGGAGAGCACTGCACTGGCTGCCTTAACCAGCTCCAAACCTTTGTTACGTGTTTTGAATAGAAAATATTCTTCTTTCCAACTTTTATTTTTTATGAATTTTCAAAGATATTTTCTGCCCTGTTAAAGCTTTTAAGAATTATTCTTAATAGATCTTTTACTTTTTTCCCCATCCTTTTGCCTTTAAAAAATACTAATTTTCTTCCTTCCATGGAGAAAAAGGATGAAATGAAAATTAAATGTGAAAAAAATGAAAACTGAATCAAATCTTTTTTCACTATTTTTATTGTCATTTCTTCCTTAGTTTTCCCAAGAAATAAAAAGAGAGAATGCAAATGGAAATGAAACCTTTTTTCTTTTTTTTTTTTTTTTTTAAATATTAGGCAAAGTATGAGAAAAAGAATAGGGATTCCAAAATATTTTTCTTTTTTCTTAAAACAGAATCACATTTGTTTTTTTTTTAAAAGGAGACACAAAGTTGTCTTGGAAGATACAATTTCCATTATTGCTACTACTAAGTTCATGATTTTATACCTACTCTGAAGAACAAGACTGCACTCCTCTCAGAAAACTAAGTAACGTACCAAAAGCTAAAACTGCCCTGATCAGCCCCAGACAGAAACCTGGCAGAGATACATACATTGAAAACACGCCTGTCTGGACCCCTTCTGCTTCCACTTGGTGAATGCCTGGACACTCAAACATTCGTGTATGCCTAACAGAATGGATTTTGGAGCTGCTGCAGAGGCTAAAGAGAGACTTATTCGCAATCATAACTGTGGAACAACAAGCAGCTACTTTGGAAAAGCTCTTCACTGAAATGGTTTTACAATAAAAAGTGATATTGTGCTGCCCTCTGGTGAATCTCTCCATTCGGGGACAGGGATTTGTGGCTCTTGCGAGAGTGCTCCAGGGCCGAATGCAGACCCTGCTGCTGAAGATGGAGCTTATGTGGGGCCTTTCATCTGCTGGGCTTGACAAAGTCCTACCTCCACCCCTGAAAGACTGCCAGGCTTGAATAGTTTAACCTTGCAGAGAGACATCGCTGAGACAGAATGGCCGTCAACTGAACTGTTGTTTTTTGTTTTTTTCCCTTATGTGATGATCTTTTTAGGATGAAGATTTCTTCCGTTGTACCCTTTCCACAGAAATCCCCACAGAAGCTGCTGGTGACACCGAACTTCAAAAATGAGTAATAGAGACAGGCCTGGAATACCTGGATAAGAAAACCGGTTATTTCATCCAAGACAAAATGCAAACCACGGTTCGCATCCACAATTCAAAACCGTTATCAGTTCGGAAAACTAATCCTTACACTACATTGAATAAAATTTCTCCTTCTTGTGGCAACTTTCTCTTGCTTTTTAGACATCAATATTTGCCATTAGTGGAACCTATGCGGCAAATAACGCCTGTAGCCATTTCCTCAAAATTGCGCTTTAATGCACAATTACATTTGCAGCTTCAAAAAGACAGGTATTTCATTGCATGACCCACACTTTCACCGTGAACAGCGTGTGTTTTCTCCCTACAGCTGTAGCAGGGATAAAGCAGAGCTGAGGCAGTTCAGCCTGAGTCGGTGACGACAGGAATGTAGGACGTGCAAGTGCAAACTGAAGGATGAAGGGTGAAGCAGTCTTGTGCATAAGATATACGCTGCAATTTTAGGGAGGACATGGAGTGACAATTTCAACTAGTGAGGAAAAGCTCAGTCTGAGACCTGAACTCCTCTGAAGCTTGGGAACGGACAGATCCAGCGTGCTTTGGGTCCAGGGCCTGACCTGGGTTTTCTGAGCAAAGATCTGCCCGAGCTTACGGCCATGCCCCAGTGTCCCAGGAGGCCTGGCAGGAGATGGCAGTGTGTCCCTCTTCCACCACCTTCCCCTTGGCTTCTGGGTTTTATAGCCATTTCATTCATGTCCTGCTGTAAACCACACTCAGCCCACGCTTCCCACAGGGGACAGTGTGGGAAAAGCCGATGGCTTCACCTCTCTGGGTTTCTTAATGAATTATAGATGGAGCATAGACAAGAGAAGAAATGGTTCTGACAACTTGAGGGACTTTGAATGCGAGAAGCCAAACACGTCAGGACAGGAAAGATTTGGGGAGGGCTGTGGGATTGCGACTCCCTGTCCTGGGCTGTCAGGCTGGATTCGGCTAAGAGGGGCACTGCCCGGCAGCTTCACGTGCTTGCCTCTGTGCCGAGCTTCGGTTCCAGGGCTCCTTCTCAAGCTGCTCGGTCTCCTGCTGCCCTCTTCTCATCCCCCCCCAGCTCCCAGTGCCATCAGTTATCCACCCATGAACTGCAAAACAGATCAGTCAGATCCATCCTTTGGAAGATCCCCTCCACCCCAGCAGTGCAGACCTGGGAGGGAGAAGGGAGAGCGGGGAAGAATGTCGTAGATTTTAAACGAGATTTTTATTGCTCTAGTAGCAAGCCCCTGGAGAGCTGCGTTAAACCAGAACACGGTGAAGTACAAGATACGTGGAAGTAGAAACTGAGACAGGGGCTGAGAAGTATGAAACTCATGTCCTCTTGTCTACATCCAGCAGCAAACACTGTCACTCAAACACTAAACCAGAACAGAAACCTGGGCTACAACAAACAGGCAGTGGCAGAAACAGTCCTGCAGGTGTGAGTGATGCCCCTGGACGCAGATCCCTTTATCTTCTGTTCCTCCAAACCCTGAAAACAGTCTTTCTCTATGAGGCCTATTAGGGGACCTAATGAGGTCCTGTTACCTTACTCCCTCTCCAGAAAACTCCCTCTGCAACTTCAGGCCCAGCTCAGGCATCAGGGGGTGCAGTGCGTGCACTTCGGGTCCAAGTGCCCGAAGACTGAGGACGTCCCTTGTATGCAACACCCTTGGGCCACCCTGAAGAAAACACCTGAGGGTGGGCGATCCATTGCCCCAACTCCTGCACCAGCAAGAG